AAGAATATTAATGTACATAAAGTTCTTGAAATAAAGATCGTTAAATTATAACAAATATTGATCCATATGACAACTGCTAGATTGATTACAACAATAACTACAAGCAAAATCATGCCATCTTACGAGTGATTAAAGTAAACCAATTTTTTTTTTTTTGATACCCAGGTGTCAACTTTACAGCGACTAATCTTGGAGTCTACGATCCAGCCCCTCTTCACGCAGACCAGGTAATCTTGGGGTCTACGATCAATATGGCTGCATTCTTGATCTTACTTTCCTGAGTAAAACTGTGTTATCAATATTTGGATCTATTTATTCAAACATCGTTTTGAAATTAAATCCTGGAAAATTCACAGAACCAGTTTTCTCACAAGAAGAAAGAAAAAGAGATTTTCATGTTGTTTTCCTGATAGCCAAAAATCAAGCACCAAAACATTACAAAAGGCTAAATTGATTGATAAACATCATCTTGATATTGGTAAAAGACCAAGTAAATTAAACTTATTACAAACAATTTCAAATCATAATATAATTCCTTGAATATGTTTAGCGTGATAAAATCCCATTAACAAAATCAAGTAATATTGTGAATGGATTCACCACAATTAAAAGAATGGACGACCATATCCAAATGAATATCCATGAGGAGTCATCGAAAATCCAAGGGCAGGAATCTTAACATCAACATCAACCCCAACATTTCCTCTAGAACTCGATGCCCCAAGAACAGGCTGCAAAGAGTTCGATGCCTCCACAATGAGCCTCTCCACCTGATTAGCCACATTCTTCTTGAGCTCCTCCATTGCCCCCTTCAGTTGCTCGAGCTCTTCCAAGCGAAGCTCATTAAATGGCGCCTCCCACCAGCACGTCCCTTGACTGGCTTTCCTAATCCTGGTTAACTCTTCGCCGCACTTTTTCTCTGATTCCAACTGGCTGAGAATGTTGGTCAGTTGCATGTTGAGTTCCCGGACACTAGCATTCCGGTGAGCCTCCAAAAGTTGCATCGTGCTGGAACTCGGTGTACTGTTTCTCATCATGTAACGATCCACAATGGACTCGACACACGGGTGGCCAAAAGAGAATACCTTTTTGCCTGGAGAAAACACGATTATAGCAATTTCAGCACTGCAAAGTGTACAAAGTTCACTGGCCTTTTTAAAGAGACCAGAGCGTCGTTTTGAGAAGGTAACAAGGAGATTGCTTTCTTTTGACATTTTTGTCATCTTTATCTTTTGGCGTCCCCTGCTCTTTCTTGTCATAGCTACTGTCCTTCAACTATGAGACAAAAATTTCGGGAGATCTAGAATTAGAACAGATGGTTTCATCCACACAAACGTGAGCGCTTATATAAAGGGTTCGCTCTTATGCATAATTAATAATAGAAGTATTCCATAAGCATCGGCATATTTTCTTCCTTATAAATCAAATCTTCCTTATCAGTGTGTAGGCTCCTATTACATATCTGGTCACGTGGCATCATATCAAATAATATCTGATTAATTAGGTTTGAGAAAAAACTCACATGAAAAATCAGAGTCCGGTAAAAAATTATTTTGACTAACGAAAGTTTCGACCAACGAAGGTTGAGATGTTGCTACCTCCTAGCTGGCTAAAATGTAAATTGTGTTAATATGTAATTCGTTCAAGTTCCTTATAAATCTAGTTTTCTTTTTTTGGTATCGAGGCTAATATTATATAGTCACGTGGCATCAAATATCAAATAATATCTCATCAATTAAGCTCGAGAAAAATTTCACATGGAGAATTAGAGTCCAGTAAAAATCTACTTCACCTAATAAAGATTGAGATGTTGCTACCTCCTTTCTGGCTAAATCTTTATTCGTGTTAATAACCAAGTTGTTCAAGTTCCTACAACATTCTACAGGATATTGATAGAAACTTTTAAAATGGTTTTTCATTTTTTGTCGATCAACAAACGAAACAAATGAGGGTCGATCAACAAACGAAACAAATGAGGGTGTTTTAGACCATTTTTATGAAAATATGCATTAAAATATGCATTTTAGAGTAGTAGATTGATGGAAATGTGTGGTTGAAAAATAAGGAAAAATTTTTTATTTACGTATAATATTATTTTAATGAATAATGTGTGGTTGAAAAGAAGAGAGAGAAAAATGTATTTTGGAAAAAAATAAGAATCAAACAAAGCCTATTGTTTTGATATAATTACCTTGCACACGAACAAAATGATTTATAAGAGGCCCTTATTTCAAATATAAACTTAGGATATGCTTCAAAAATAAATTGTTTCCCAATATAATGTTCCGAAGTTTTAATTGCAAAAATACTATTACAAATACTTGTGTTACTCTTTTTGTACCCCATAAAACACGTGTTACACTTTTGTACCCGTGTAACATACTTATAGTTTTGCCACCATCCACACCTTTCACCACCAGAAACTCCACCACCACCACCTCCACTTCCACCCCAATCGACTCAAAATATGTTACTGAGAACAAAACCACATCACCACCGTCGAAGCTGCTACCATCGCCACCATCTCATTTGTTCACTACAAGAACAGATTTGATCCTTTCTATAGAGTTTAAAGTGTAGTTTATAAAAGATTATTATAACTATAATGCGGAATAATAAACTCTCAAAGTGTAAAAGTCGAACCAAAACGACCCAAAGCTTCTTCAACACCACCAATGAAGTGTTCTTGATGTTGAACTCAGATTTGTGCCACACTGGATCATGTACCATCGTGCACAGGAATGACAATGGATATACCGAGAAAAGATCCGCCGAAAGCCATCAAGAATTTCGTTGGAGTTATGGAAAGCTCCCACTTGGTTACCTCTCTATGCTCTCTCTCAAATGTTATGCCAAAATCCCAGTATGAGAGAATGAAGAGGTCTTGTAATTATAGAATCAATTCATTTGAATTCCAAATTCAAATATTGTACTATGGTCAAGAGAGTGACAACACTAGTATAGGTAATTGACCACAAGATTAAATCCATCCATTGGATTTAATCTATGGTCCATATTACTTCATAACTAGTACAATTCAAGTTACATTCTCTAGACCAATCAACTTGCACCAATAATAGGATGTGATCCACCTTATAAATCTTCACCTTGGATCAAATAACATCCATCGCCCAATTCCCCGGTTACAAGTGATATCTATTAGTGTGGTCTTATTTTTATCATCATCGATCACTCCAGCTTAACACCTGCACAACAATTAACCATTATCAATACTTAGTATTTATAAACATTTGTTGAACTTACCAACCGCAAGTACTTTTGTTCCAACATCTGCAAGGTTATCGTCAGTTGCAATTTTAAGCAAAATAAAATCACTAGAAGCTAACATCTCCCTAATCAAGTGATACTTCACCTCAATATGCTTAGTACGTTCATGATAAACAGGATTTTTACACAACATCAATGAACTTTGACTATCAGTAAAAATCATAGCATTATCATTCAAGAAGTTTAATTCACATAGAAGGCCTTTCAACCACGTGCATTCCTTTACAGCTTCATTTAATGCAATATATTCTGTTTTAGTGCTGGAGAGCGTAACTATAGGTTGCAACTATAGTTTCCAAGTGATACAATTATCACCTAAAGTGAAGAAGTAAGAAGTGGTAGATTTCCTCTAATCTTTATCCCCCGTAAAGTCAGAATCTACATATCCTTTAAGTTCTAATTTGTTACTTCTTCTTTCAAACACTAATCCTATTTTCAAAGATCCAGCTAGGTTAGGGGTGTCAAAAAGGCTCGGTGGCTCCGGTGGCTCGTGGCCCGGCTTGGGAAAAGCCCGAGCCCGCCAGGCTCGTGGCTTGTAGCAATCGAGCCTCAAAATAAGAGGTCAGCCTGAGCCCGAGCAAGGCGAGCCACACGGGCTGGCTCGTGTCATGAGCCATTTTTGGCCCGTGACAATAATGCTCGGCCCGAGCTAAATTAAAGGGCAAAAAAAAGACAAAAAATCAGCAGCAGGTATAGCTTGGCAGCTATA